GGACGCGATGTCATCGACAAGGTGGTCTGTGCTGGAGATGGTTATCTTTTGGATTCTTCTGGGTGATGAGTGGCGGGCACTTGAGTTCCGATCTGAGTCAGTGCGATGCTGTTGAGACGTCCCGAAGAGCGGTAACGGCGGGCTTGAAGGTGGCGGTCTTGCCCGCTGATCCCGGGAGCTGGGGCTTCGGGTCTGCTGGTGGGTGAGGGGACGCCAAGTGTGTCCCACGTGGGGAATGCAAGTGTGTCCCAATCACGGGTGGAAGCTACCTACACCCCACAGCCCCCCTTTTTCCTCCAATTCGCCCCCTGGGAGAGCGCTGTCATATAGGACCTGAATCTCTAACTTTCCAATGGTATCACAGGAACATGCCATATTTTGGAACCATAGGCGGTTCTTTCATCAGGCGTTGTTTTGCTTTATCTAATATAAGGACCTACCTAACTATCCAATCAATTTGCATGCAACCAGGCCCAACATAGTCATTGGTGGATCTAAAGGAGATTGTACAATCAGATTGTAACGAGTATGGTGAGCTTTATAGTTCACCAAATGCTGAAAATCAAAGCTTGCCTCGCTGTCATCAATATGAACAGAGCTGCATTCACCCTGTAAGCCTCCACAGCTTGTTCTCGCTTGTTGTTGCTGTTGAGAGCATTTTTGGTGACGATTCAGCAAAACCAATCTGTTTCTAATCTCGTTCTAAAAGCAAAAATCCCAAACAAATGTAGGATAAGTTAATACCTGCCATACAAAATGGAAGCCGGAGACCGCATTTACGGCACTGCGAAATTTCTCTTTTGACGTGGTTATCTGAAGCAAGCTTTATTGCTCGTGTCACTGAGTTTCAGGCTTTGGATCCTCCTTGTACATTATATCAGGACTGTGAGTGCACCATGCCAAAATGGCTCCGTCCTGGGATATCTGAGCGATGACGCAATGCTCGTACATATCAGGAACAGCTTAAACGCTCTTTAATAACTGCGCTGAAACGCCAGCACGCCCGCTCCACGCTGAAGTCATCTCTGCAGACAATCTATGCGTCAGAACTGGGAAAATGGACTTAGATAAAAAAATATATATATATTCAGTGTACTCTGTATAATTTATCTGGATCAGACTTGATCTTCATTTATTTTTCTAATTCAGCAGCGGTTTCCTTTTAAAATGATTTTGGCATGCGTGATGTTTAGCACATGGAAGATGCCAAGCTCCAGACATCACAAGACGATTGTGGCATGGGTAATGTTCAGCACATGGGAGATGCCAAGCTTCAGACATCACAAGACATTTACAGCATGGGTAATGTCCAGCACATGGGAGATGCCAAGCTCCAGACATCACGAGACGATTGCAGCATGGGTAATGTCCAGCACATGGGAGATGCCAAGCTCCAGACATCACGAGACGATTGCAGCATGCGTAATGTCCAGCACATGGGAGATGCCAAGCTCCAGACATCACGAGACGATTGCAGCATGGGTAATGTTCAGCACATGGGAGATGCCAAGCTTCAGACATCACAAGACATTTACAGCATGGGTAATGTCCAGTACATGGGAGACGCCAAGCTCCAGACATCACGAGACGATTGCAGCATGGGTAATGTCCTGTACATGGGAGACGCCACGCTCCAGACATCATGACACAATTGTGGCATGCGTAATGTTCAGTACATGGGTGATGCCAAGCTCCAGACATCACGAGACGATTGCAGCATGGGTAATGTCCTGTACATGGGAGACGCCACGCTCCAGACATCATGACACAATTGTGGCATGCGTAATGTTCAGTACATGGGTGATGCCAAGCTCCAGACATCACAAGACAATTGCAGCATGCGTAATGTTCAGCATGTGGAAGATGCCAAGCTCTGGACATCACGAGACGATTGCAGCATGGGTAATGTCCTGTACATGGGAGACGCCACGCTCCAGACATCATGACACAATTGTGGCATGCGTAATGTTCAGTACATGGGTGATGCCAAGCTCCAGACATCACAAGACAATTGCAGCATGCGTAATGTTCAGCATGTGGAAGATGCCAAGCTCTGGACATCACGAGACGATTGCAGCATGGGTAATGTCCAGCACATGGGAGATGCCAAGCTTCAGATATCACGAGACTATTGCAGCATGGGTAATGTCCAGTACATGGGCGATGCCAAGCTTCAGACATCACGAGACTATTGCGGCATTGGGTAATCTTCAAAACATGGGAAATGCTAAGCTCCAGACATCAGGAGATGATTTTGGCATGGGTAATATTCAGCACATGGAAAATACCAAGCTCCAGGCATCACAAGACGATGGGTAATGGGCACGGGTAATGTACAAAACATGGGAGATGCCAAGCTCCAGACATCATGAGATGATTTCGGCATAGGTAATGTTCAGCACATGGGGGATGCCAAGCTTTAGACATCACGAGACGATTGCGTCATGGGTAATGTTCAAAACATGGGGGATGCCAAACTTCAGACATCACGAGACGATTACGGCATGGGTAACGTCCAACACATGGGAAATACCAAGCTCCGGGCATCATGAAATGAACGCCATCAGAAATTGCCACGGCTGCTTAATGTAGTATTAAGCTCTCAAAACTTTTTTTCAACAATAGATCAAGATGAAACAGATATACAGGATACACTTTAAAATGTACCTGTCCTACCGCCCGCACTGCCAATCATTGCAGTCTTAAAGCTGTACGGTGGCTGAGGAATATTTTCTGCATCCGACACCATTCCTAAACTGAGTGCTGGGATTAGGTAACTCCAGTGCACATGGCTGCCCAATGGCCAAAGAAAGAAGACATAGGATCCTGGAGAAGATGAGGAGGAGCACAAATCTGTCTTCACCGAGGAAAGGAAAATCAAAGAATTATGGGGAGCGTGAAACACACTCATTCCTATATTTAAAGCCAACATGTGACACTGAAGCTGTCACAGGTTGGTTCTATTGATGGAGAACTGAGCGATCACAAATGGCTGATCGCTCAGGTTACGATCTCCATCCTGCAGTGACTGTCGGTCACTGCTCCTCACAAGGATTCCCCCTTCTCTCTCCATTCTTCCAGCGCTCATTGGAGGGACAGACAGGGCAGGGGGCAGGCACAGCTGGCTCTGGCTCTAGAGAGGCACAGCCAGCTGTCAATCTGGCAGAGGGGTGGATCCTGACAATATTGCCAGGATCTTTCCCAGCTGCAGCGAGGCTCTGCACGGTCAGCATATAGTGGGCAGTACCCGCTATATGCTGAGTTTTGGGCCATAGGAGTACATTAGTAAATAGCCTCGTGTGACCCTAAAGAGAGCCAATGCCAGAAAAGGATTGGCCATAGTTTTCTTTTAAGTGGTGAGTTTGCCATAATTGGAAAGTCTGTTGGGTATATTAGCACATATGGCAAGTATTCCAGCAACCTTCCCCTAGCTTAAGCACATATATATACACATACACGATATTACCAAAAGTATTGGGACGCCGGCCTTTATACGCACATGAATTTTAATGGCATCGCAGGCTTAGTCCGTAGGGTTCAATATTGAGTTGACCCACCCTTTGCCGCTATAACCGCTTCAACTCTTCTAGGAAGGCGTCCACAAGGTTTAGTAGTGTGTCTATGGGAATGTTTGACCATTCTTCCACAAGCGCATTTGTGAGGTCAGGTACTGATGTTGGACGAGAAGGCCGGGCTCGCAGTCTCCGCTAATTCATCCCAAAGGTGTTCTATCGGGTTGAGGTCAGGAGTCTGTGCAGGCCAGTCAAGTTCCTCCACCCCAAACTCACTCATCCATGTCTTTATGGGCCTTGCTTTATGCACTGGTGGCCGTCAAACCCAGACACGTCCATCGGATTGCCAGAGAAGCGTGATTGGTCACTTCAGAGAACACGTCTCCACTTCTCTAGAGTCCAGTGGCGGCGTGCTTTACACCAGTGCACCCGACGCTTTGCATTGCACTTGGTGATGTAAGGCTTGGATGCAGCTGCTCGGCCATGGAAACCCGTTCCATGAAGCTTTCTACACACATGTTGTTGTGCCAGTCTGAAGGCAACACGAAGTTTGGAGGTCTGTAGCTATTGACTCTGCAGACAGTTGACGACTTCTGCGCACTGTGCACTTCAGCATGCGCTGACCCCACTCTGTCATTTTGCGTGGCCTACCACTTCGTGGCTGAGTTGCTGTTGTTCCCAGTTGCTTCCACTTTGTTATAATACCATTAACAGGTGATCGCGGAATATTTAGTAGCAAGGAAATTTCACAGAACACCTCATTCATACCTGCGAATAGGGCTGGACAGCAGATCCTTGTGACTACAATTACAGGAGGTTGCTGACAGCTGTAGCTGGGTCGCCTGTACAATGGAATGCTGACCAGAGCCAGAGCTGCCCGCCACCGATTTGCATGCATCTGCACATCCAGCGGTTACCTGCAGATAGGGACTGATGAGCCACCCTGGGCGCAGGAACTACACGTGTGATGGAGTCTTCACCCTTCTCTTTGGTGACAACATATACCTTAACAGGTTTCTCGTCTAACAAGAATCGCTTTAAAGCAACTGTCGCCGAGACAGGTTGGTATGTCTGGAATGTACACATATGGCTGCCCCATGTACAAACTATACACAGAAACCAGGTTTTTTACCATTTAATGCATACTGATTACAATATTTACAACGAGCTGATCTATTTTACATATATCTAAAAAAGTAAAAGATCATTTATTCTCTTTTGGTAGAACTAAAGACGATCTTAAAAAGAATACCAGAGAAACATCATTATGACATAAGGCAAAGGTCATCATTTTAAATGTAATTTGCATATTCTTCTGTTGAACGACCCTCTATGTTATCTTTGCATGAGGCATGGGTAGACTAATTAATTTGGAATTCAGGAGCCAGTCAGTCCAATCCAGGAGCCAGTAGAAATAATTTTTTAGTATCCAGTTCTTCTGACAACTAGAGAAAATCCCAAAAGCTAGGCACCAGCTGTAATAAGGAGAACTGGTGACTGGGCTCCTGGGATTTGTCCAGCACATAAGGTGTGTATAACATACACTCAGACCCGTGTCATGCTCGGCTACTGTAATGTCAATCTCCAGTCGCTTTAGATTCCAGAAAGCCTCTCCCTTCTCTCCTCTTTGTCCAGAATGCTTTGCCGTAGGCTGATCTTTGCATCTTCAAACTGAGGGTTTAATGTCAATACTTTCTGGAAGTCCTTAATGGCTTCATCAAAAAACCCTGAAAAAGAAAACAAAAAAGTATAAGGCCTCATTCACACGGAAATCGGCCCGCATGTACAGCTCCGTGCTGTGTGCAAGGCCGTATCGGGCAGATCCCGGGAAGGACAGGTGATGCGTGTGATTAGTATGCAGTCCCTGTCCTTCTCTATGGGACTACGTGGCCGTACGCCACCCTAGGCTCTCCCCAAGTGCAGGTCCGTGCGGGTGTCCTGGTTCGGACGCAGACAGGATCCATCCTGTCAGCGTACGAGTACGCTCACAGGCTCGCACCCGTACGGACGTGCAGTGCGGGTAAGCGTAGGGGGCGTACGGTCGCGCACTCCCATAGAGAAGGACGGGGGCTGTGTACTAATCACATGCAGCACCTGTCCTTCCCGAGAGCTGCCCGATACAGCCCTGCACGCAGCACGGAGCTGTACGTGCCAGCCGATTACAGTGTGAATGAGGCCTAAAAGTATAAAAGTAAAAGGTGGCCATACACTTTACAACCCACGCAAGACTTTTGTCTTGCGAGGGTTGTAAAGTAATTAAAAAACGTACAATCTGCCCATCTTGGACAGGCAGATCGTACTTGCGATCATCGCAAGCCCGCCCCCGAGGGGCGGGCTTTTCGATGACTGCAATGAGGGGCGGGCTTCTGATGACTGCAAACGGGCACTGAGCGCGTGCGCACACCGGCCCGTTCGGCAGTTGTCGAATTAGCAGGCCACTAACCCGCCAAGAATCGTACGATTCTCGGCGGGTTTTCCAGCCTGCTTGTTCGACGGGCGACGTGCAACCGTATAGTAGAAACGGTTGCACGCCTTCCATACACTTTGCGATTATCGTACGATCGCGGGATTTCCCGCGATTCTCGTACGATAATCGTACAGTGTATGGGCACCTTAAGGAATGAGGACTTTATTTCAAGTGATATCCATGATTGAGACAGCAGAAACAAAGCTGAACTCCAGCCTTCCCCTTCAGCCTTGTGCAGGGAAAAAACTGGATTACCCAGAGGAAGCCCACACAAACCGGGAGAACATGCAAACTCCACGTAAATAGTGTCCTGTCCAAACCTGGATTCGAACCAGAAACCTCACGGGCTGCAAGGCAGACCATTGTACTGCCCACAGCAAGGTAGGAACACCATTTTCCACACTATATATAAAATATAATGTATATTGTCATCTGCACTTGCCTTACCATGCTGGTAAAGAGAGGGTATTACTTTGTAGCAAGGGGAGTGGTTTGTGCTGCGTTTGGCACATTTTATATACTCATACAGTGAAAATGCCCTATGACCGCCACTGGTTTCAGTAAAGCATAATTGTGTGAGGCTTCATTCAGATCTGTGTGTCCTTCCATACAGACAGGTGAGGTCACAAGACTCCGGCACTTTCACACAGGCAAATAAATGCTTTTATAACAACAAACTCAAGCAGCACCCACCTAATCGATACTGGACCAAGCCTCTGTTATAATAAGGAACCTCAAAATTGGGGCTCAATCGTATTGCCTCTGTGTAGTCGTCCATGGCTTCATAGAAGTCAACCCGGAAATACTTAATCTGCCCCCTGTTATTGTAGGCTGTAGCTAGATCTTCAGAGCGGCATTTGCTTCAGGAAACAAAGATAGAGAAAGAGAGAGGGGGGTGAGAGAGAAAAGAAAGAAAGAAAGAAAGAAAGAAAGAAAGAAAGAGCAGATTTATAACAACCCGGGAAGACAACGTACTCCCAACCATCATAAATAAGATTATATTATGACATCAGCACAAGAGGCAGCGCCGGGGATGCGGGCCTAGTGTGACTGGACAAAATGTTAAATATGTAGGTGTGCCTGAAAAATAAAAATAAAAGATATACAACATGAAATCCCTCCATCTTAACCTTTATAAGTCATTAAATGTAAAAAAAAAAAAAAAGTTTATTTTCCAAATCCCATCAATCTAAAAACACGCCCCACTTGAAGGATTCGTTTACTAGTAAATCACAAATTTTTTTGGGATACTTTTTGACAAGCAAAGTGTTGTAATTTATAAGGGAATCATACAAAGAAGGCTTTGCTTATAATAAACAACCCCGGCCTTATTTTATAAGGCAGTCAAAGACGGGAGGATCATTTGCAAAGTTCAGTTAAAGGAGAACTATGAGGTGAGTGCTTTTCACTCACCTCACAGTTCTAGCCGACCTGTGACAAGGAGACTGTCACAGGTCGGCTCAGTAGATCGGTAAAATTGATTTGAAAAGGAAATGACCTAGATCAAGGCACAGGATGCCAACACCCCTGAAAGTGGTATATCGAAAAATCAGGAAAGTTGGGGTTTTTTAGGCAGCCGACTGACAACTTGCACACCAAGACTTTTTTAGAAAAAATATTTTAATTGATTAAAAGGTAAGTAGAATTGATAAAATTGACAACATGATTCCCCTGTAAGCGCACTCCACATAAATAAATTCATTCATATACAGATGACAAATCAGAATCTTATGCAATGGAACATGATTGAAAAAACATGATTGAAAAATTCATGAATACATGACATAATTAGTATAATGAAAGATGATGGAGGAGCTTGATTTTCTCAACGTTTCGCACTAGATAGCGCTTCTTCAGGAGATGAAGAGGGAAGTTGTCCTTGGAGTCTGTGTGCGTCCCAGTCGTTCCCCCCGGCTCAGACAATGAAAAAGTAAAAACATATGGCAGGGAGGGGAGGAAGAACAAGAAGGGAGAGAGGATGAAAGGGGGCCCCAGACATGTTTTTTCAATCATGTTCCATTGCATAAGATTCTGATTGTCATCTGTATATGAATGAATTTATTTATGTGGAGTGCGCTTACAGGGGAATCATGTTGTCAATTTTATCAATTCTACTTACCTTTTAATCAATTAAAATATTTTTTCTAAAAAAGTCTTGGTGTGCAAGTTGTCAGTCGGCTGCCTAAAAAACCCCAACTTTCCTGATTTTTCTATACATCAGTAGATCGGGAGGTGAGCGAACACATACCGGAGTTCGCTCACCTCTCGATCCTGCCCCAGCCCTCTGCCGTGACAGGGGGAGGGGCTGGATTCCCCGCTCCGATCCGCCAGCGCTGACTGGCGGATCGGACGGGGGAGGGGGTGGGTACAGCTGGCTCTGCCTCTAGCTAGATTAACTCACGCAGCATAATTGTCAGGATCCGCTTCAGCTGCAGCGTCTCACGGTATACTGTGGCGTCTCTGATAATGTGGGGTGAGGGTCAGAGGGAAGGGTTGGGAATTCCCTTCACTGAAACTCAGCACACATATGAAATGTCTTTTGATATTTACAACCAAGGGCTGTTGCAGTAGAGGAGTATGGGGGTCCAAACAAGTATGGAGTGTTATATAGAAGGGCATCAGAGCAGGATGGGTCTGATGAGTTGACACATCTGTCTCAATGCCCTTTATGATATTCACTAAAGATAATCATATGTGTTCTGTTACGTGTGCTATAAAGTGGTCACATACATTATAGGACATATGTGACCTCTGGACTATGCACTGCATTTGTCACATTTCTCTACTGTAAAGATAGTTAGATTATAACTAAGCAATCCTTTCAGCAAAAAACAGACTTTGCCGCATTCCAAACTTCCCCTTCCACAGTATAAAAAGGCAGACCGCTGTATTTTAAAAAACGTGTTTGTATTTATCTTTTCCCCTTATTTCATGCTCGCCCTGCCCAGTCTTAATTCTCAACAAGAATGATGTTTGAGCCTCCTCATGCAGCCTCCTGGAACACCGGTGTCCCAAGACGGCTGGCTTCCCCGCAGCATAGAGAGATGCATATTGTGCAGAATCATCAGGGGCCGGCTGCAAGAACTAGAAAGAAACAGCCGGCTTCTGATGAAGTAAAACGAAGGGCTCAGGGCATGCAGCAGGAGAGAAAAGGATAATGCAGGATTTACTGGGTTGGTAGGTACAGACATCCCAACTCTCCCGGGAACCTTCGCGAGTGTCGCGCTATCAGATAGCGGCTCCCGGCCGCCCGGGAGAGAAACATTTTCTCCCAGAAAGGTTTACTCTGCTATATCTAGCAAAGTAAACACCTCCCTGAAATGAGAAGGGCACCTCCCTGAAACTGCTTTTTTTCAGGTTGGGATCCCTGTAGGTATGTGTATGCTGAATAAATGTGCATCAAAGGTAAGTGGCATATGGAAAACATTGCTGGACCTGGATGAAGTTCCCCTAAAAGAACTTCTGGGTCACAGGTCTGCAGTAAAAGAGTGTCAGAATCCCTCATCTCTATACTTGTTCCAGGTCAGTGACTCAGACAGCACTGAAACCAAAAGCATCACAGCGAGGAAACCAGGCTTCCCAAAAGGCAATTTTAGCAAAGGCAGCCTCCATTATTCTATTATGATAGAGTCACTTTAAGGGCTGTAGCCACCCGGTTGCTTGTGGCAACTCACAAGCAACAGGATTGCTGAAGAGATCGCTCATCTGCTGCTATGGCATTGCTCCCTCGCTGATTGAACTTCTGCAGGATCTGAATTACAGCAACAAAGAGACAGAGCAGAGGTAGCCAATCTTGGTACTCTAGCTTTGGTGAAACTTCAAGTCCTATCATGCCTCCGGGAGTCATCCCTAAACAGGCAAACAGTGCCTACTTCCTGCGGTTGCCAGTTTTGCACACCTCCTGAGCCTTACTGCTGGCCTATCACTGTGATGGGAAAGCTCACTATCCAGCAGTGTGGTGACCATAAAAGCTGGATGCACATCAGAGCCTCATGATGTTCTGCAGAAAATCTGATTGCACTTTATGCACCTGCTCTATGCAGTAAGGGAAGTTTTGCAGCTTTAATATAGTTCTAAGTTTTGTATATACTGCTGGTAGATTACGGGCTGTATTTATAGAACGTTCACAGAGCCATTCACTCTGCAAACATCTGACTTTTACATTCACACTGAATTATAGCCACTAGATGGAGCCGAAGAGCACAGGAATTCCCTATGCTCCTCGGCTCCATCTAGTGGCCATATATCGGTGAGACTGTAAAAGTCAGATGTCAGTGAAGCTTCTCATTCATCCAGGTCATGGTATATCTGTAACAAAGAAGTCAAGGCAACTGGACTCGCTGTATTTTTTTGAAGAAAAGTCAGAATTTTGCGGAGTGAATGGCTCTGTGAACGTTCTATGAATACTCCCCTCCGTGTGCTCTCACCTCTTATGTGTGCAGCTGTCTATGATTTCCCCGTAGAGTTCCTCAGCCACATCTAGGTGACGTCTCCCCAGCTCTTCATTTGCTCTCTGCAGCAGACTCGGCTCCATTCTGGAAAAAAGAAGAAAATCAGAATAATCGAGATGAATCAGAATATCGGCTTTGGTGTGAGAAGTTGGAACCTTTACATTTCATATTACTAGAGACGTACAGCACGGGGAGTTACTGATTAGCACCGCTGGGCTCCAAGGTTCAATCTCCACCCCACCCCCTCTGCATGCAGGTTTTTTGGTTTTTGGGTCCACACTCCATAAAGATCAACTGGCTTGGAAGAACCTTGATATTGGAGTCTGTATATGTGTGACGGGTGAGGCTCCGCCCTGCTATGTCTGGGATGGGAACTGTAAACAGATCAATCTGCTATGCACATGGCTGCATAACGTGTTTGTATTATGGAAATAGGGAGATGTAAAGTCCCAGCATGCACTCTCCTGTTATAACATCAGCATTGTAATAGGAATACATAGTAGAGATGTTTCTGATAATACAATCAAATATGGCTGCAACAACTAATCGATTAAATCGATTATAATTAATAGAGCTGCGGCTAACGATTATTTTCAAAATCGATTCGTTGGACGATTATTAAGTTCGATTAATCGGATAAAAAAATTAAATACATTTTAAAAAATGGCTCCAGGGATGGACTACTAGTTTGTATTGAGATTGTAGTCCATCACAGGAGCAAGCTCGGAGCGGTGGAAGTAAAGAAAAGAAAAAAAAAATGTGTGGTGTGCAATATAGTGAAATGAAAAGTGTAAAATGATACAGCATTCAATGCAGAATGGCAGCGGCTATAGAGGACTACAAATCCCAGCAATACATTATACAGCGCACTACAGAATACCACCAGCTACATAGGAATACAACAAATCCCAGCAATACATTATACATACAGTGTACAATGTATTGCTGGGATTTATATTCCTCTATAGCTGATCTAATATACAGCACAACGTACCATCAGCTATAGAGGAATACAAATCCCAGCAATACATTATAGAGCACCATGTGGGGGGAGGGAAGTGCAGGCTTACCTGAGCAGTCTTCCAGCAACTTGTTTCTGAGATCGGGCCTATTGTCATTCCCTCACGCCTGCTCCTCCTTACTTCTTCTCCCCGCGCACCTGTGCCGATCGTGGATTTGGGCGAGCACTGAGCGTAAGGCGGGAGGAGGTGCGGAGTGTGGATGCGGGCGGGCCTGGCAGCGGCGAGCGTGAGGTGGGGAGGAGGTGTGGCGTGCAGCGTGTGTGGAGCCGTGAACAGGGCCAACCAATCGGAAGCCGATTAATCGATTATTGAAAAAATTGACAACTTTTTCAATAATCAATTATAATCGATTATGTCGATTAGTTGTTGCAGCCCTAATAATTAATAATGAGAAGCGTTGGCAATGATTCTCATCATCGATTAGTTGATTTACAAATAGTTGCCGCCGCTCTGCTCCTCCGTTCTCCTCCCCGCTGGTGCTGGCTGCAGCTGTCTGTGTCCCTTTCAATCCCCGCTGCTCTCCCCATCTGTATCAGCAGAGGCAGCGGGGACACAGACCACTGCAGCCAGCAACGAGCGGGCAGGAAAGACCCCCGTGACTGCATTCCCCCCCGCTGCCATTGTACCTGCACTGCTGCCTCGTGTCGCTTCTTCCCCGGCCCGTTCCGTATCTCCTCTGCCCCGCCCCAGCGCCTCCTCTGCATCTACAGGTTGGCAGCCATACCCAGCCTGCTATTGGATATTTTAAAATGCAATAGCCAATAGCAGGCTGGCTATGGCACCCGCCCACTGCTTGCTGTCAATCACCAGAGGAAGACCTGATGGAGAACTTTCTCCTTGAGGTCCCTCCTCTGCTGATTGACAGCAGGCAGGTGCAATAGCCATACCGTATGTTGCAGTGCAATAAAATATTGCATGCACTTTTTTTTTTTTTTTACCGCAATGCACAGTATTGCAGTACTATGCGTTGCAGCCTGGAGGTGCCATTGAAATGAAGGGCATTGCAATGCACCTTGCGCATGGTAACGCACATTAGGTGCGCAGTGCGATTTACACAACGCTATGGTGTGACTGGGCCCAAGGCAATAGCGTTAAACATTGGTGGCACATACATAACCACGCTATAGGAAACAATATCCTAAAGAAAGGGTGGGCAACCGTGGCACTTCAGCTGTGGTGAAACTACAAATCCCATAATGCCTCTGGAAGGCATGCCTGCAGCTGTCAGAGTTTTGCAATGCCTCATGGGACTTGTAGTTCTAAAACAGCTGGGGGGCCGATGTTGCCTATGCCTGGCCTAAATCACCCGTCCATCTGAAGTAGCACACAGCCTGGGGTGGACTGACATGCTGCCCAGGCTGAACCACCCACAATGGTCTGCTGTGTGAACCGATACCCTGGATATTTGTCCAGACTCATCTAAGTGACAGGTCCTCTTTAACATAAACCCTCATTGACCCACCGGGGTCACAGACAATGCCAGAGACAAGGACACTTCCAGGACCGGTCTTCATACCCAGCAGCCGGAGAGCGGTCACAGTCGGGTACTAGAATAGGACACATGAACATTGTACAGGAAGTGTATACAATATATACAGACCCCCGATCCCGTGCCTATGGTATCCATGGAAACACACAACAGTCCCCCTGCAACTTACTGCTACGTCCGCTAGTTCCACCTCGTCACGTGACTGGCCCGGGGCCGCGCTTCACGAGGAGCGCGCGTGACCACGTACTAAGAGTGACGGGGCTCCAGACGTCACCGAGGGGGCGGGTCTATGTATAGTGTGGGACAGATAGAGGAAACTTGTGACTTTGTCAGCGTGCGGTAGAAGGGTCACGTGACCGAACCGAACCTGTCACCGCTCCTGAAATGTTCGGATCTTGGAAACATTGTAACAGTCAGATGATGAGGATTTCATAACGAAGAGTCAGTGCTGCCGCCAAGTTACTTCTTTCTATAATATCGGAACGTTGGACTGCTTCCCGCTGATGGTGACATAGATAGATTAGATGGTAGCAGGGGCGTCCTGAGGCGGAGTGTCACCCGGAGCGGTACCAGGTGACAGCCCGCTGCAACGTCATCGCACACATGCAATGTCATCAGGCATGCGTGTGATTACGTCATGCGCTGTTACCTGCCGGCGTCCATGTTGGTGATGGACACCGGCAGAGAGAGAAGGGGACATTCACCCAGCGGGATAAGGTATGCCGCTGGGTTCCCTCCTCTCTCCTGCAACGGTCTGTCTTTCGGTCCATGACCAAGTGCCCGACTTTTCAGAGGGGGTGACACCAAAATGGCTGTCATTCATTTTGGTGTCACCCCCTCCATTAGTCAAACTTCATAGAATCCCATCGCACTCCTGACCGGATACAGCCCAAAACATCAGTTAGGTGCTGTAGTTACTGCGGGTGCCACTGCAAATCAAGTACAAATTGGAAAATGAGTCACCAGCACACCAAAGCAAATTCTGTCCATTCTTCTTTATTGACAAAAGAAAAGTGTGTCACAATTAGGGTTGCCACCTGTCCAGTTTTGACCCGTACAGTCCGGTTTTGGTGTGTTGTGTACGGGTGCCCAGCCATCACATTCAGCAGGGAGGGAACTGGTTAATGGATGTTCACCAATCTCCTTTCCCACCAACACCGAAGATGTCAGTTCCTGGCCCAGAGGAGCCCGGGAAGCAAGACGGAGGTGCACTTCACCAACCCATGGAAGCGCTCAGCCGCCAGAACCGCTTCCAGTGTAAACAGAGTCCTGCCAGTACAGCCACCGGGAGTCTGTTTAAAGGGGCACGTTGCCAGCGACATATGACATACATCAGTGGCAGCGAAATGGTTAAACCCAAATTTTCAGGGGAAAAAAATATTCAAATTAATCCTATTCAATAATTAATACTCAAATTAACAACAGTGCACACAAACACAACATCATACCCAATGTATGGTTAAAATTAGGGATGCACCGATACCAGTATGGGTGCCGACACCGAATATTTGGGCGAGCACTCGTTTTTGCCCAAATGCTCCGATACTTACCTCCGATACCGGAACTTCTGGCCAGAGGGACCATCACAGTCACCTGACTTGAATCTCATAGAAAATCTTTGGTGGGACTTGAAGTAGGTGGTTGCACCTCGCAAACCCAAGACTATTAGAGAACTGGAGGTCATTGCTCATGAGGAATGAGCTAAGATTCCTCAGGAACGCTGCCATAAGCTGGTGTCTGGCTATGCATCTAATTTCCAGCAGGTCATAGCAGCAAAGGGGCGTTCTACTAAGTACTAAAGATACTTGCCATGAAGGGGAGGAATAATTAGAAGACTGCAGAAGTCATTAAAGTTGCATTTTCAGTTGAATTTGGGGAAACCCCTCGAACATTCGTTGTGTTGACCGATTTCAATCGCTTTTGTTTGATTTGTTCATTGCAAACAACTGAAAGTCTGTAAACTTTGCCAATAAACTTGATTTGCAATGGGAGTTGAATCATTTAGGCCTCATTCACACTGCCGCGCGTGTACGCGCGTACGTACGTATTGTACCATATGCAAATAAATGGCTCCATACACACAGCCGAGTATGGAGCCGTATATTTGCGCAGCGTATATATGTGCAAAACAGAATGGAACAGAGATGCGTCCGGGCAGCGTATCTCTGCGTATTTACGCGCACGTACGCATGTTTACGCGCATATACGCGTATAGCACATTAAAATTCTATTACAAGTGATGCATTCTGGGATTGCATATAGTGCGCGCATAGACGCTCGTATATATGCGCATAGACGCTCGTATATACGCAATATACAATTTTGCTTGCGTTGTGTGTGAATGAGGCCTTAGATGACAACTGTAGGAAAGTTACCTTGTAGCACATCCACTGGTGTATACATAACAATTAGTGTGCTGGGCCATCCTTCAGATCTGCCACGGTAGTCCTCCAAACTTCAGGGTATAGGACCAATCTGCATGCCTCCGCTCACCCCACAATGCAGCACCCACAGAACTCCAGGACAATTCACTGTGAGCATTCAGAGGGGTGTCCGCTCTGCAGAATGAACCAGGAAAAATGATCGATTCCCCCATTCTTGCTACACAGTGAATCCCTTTCCCTCTGGGTATTACCCGTTTACTTGAAAATAAGACCTACCCCGAAAATAAGAACTAGTACTATTTTGGGGAATTGCTAAAATATAAGACCTACCCCGAAAATAAGACCTAGTTGTGACCATTCCCAGGGCCGGTGGTGGCATAAGGGGGAACTTGAAGAGCCGTGGGCTAGAATCAGCGGTGCCAACGAAGCCCGCGCTAGAGGAAGCGAGGCGGCAGCGGAGGGAGCAGAGCCGCATAAGCCGATGCCTCCTCTATAGCGCCGGCTCCTGTCACAGGCGGAGTGATACCAAATGCACTCCGCCTGTGAGGAATCCATAGTGAAAGCGTGCTTCGCGCATTCTGGCCAGTGATTGGTTACCAAATTGCTCTTGGAAAGGTACGGCAACCCCTGATCACCCTATTCTTAACTTCGCCATTTTGGATTATTTCATTTAGATTTGCGTTAAATTTGGATTGTTGCACATTAAAAGAAAAAAAAAAAAGACCTACCCCGAAAATAAGACCTAGTGTGTTTTTTTGAGCCAAAAAAAATATAAGACAGTGTCTTATTTTCGGGGAAACACGATATATTCTGACAACAGGGGTGTGCCGATGTCAGAATACCCAAATTGTGACTGCAGCTGAGCCACCTGGGAATATTTGGTTGAAATCCTAGCAGTGTAGCAGTATATGGCGAACTTATGTACGGTGTTACTTTACAAATTGTGTGTGTGCCGGAATACAGAATAGCTTGCATGAATATTGTGTTTCCATTTCTCTCATTATGTTAAAAAAAATAACAACTTTTTTAATCAAATTCTTTTTTAATTAAAGTTTTATCATTAACAAACATTATAAACTGTACAACATATAACATTTAAAAAATATATATTTTCTCTTTTGTCATGTAAAGATGAACATTTTATATTTACCGGTTGACTTTAGTGCTTTGCTGTAAATACCGTGTTTCCCCGAAAATAAGACACTGTCTTATATTTTTTTTGGCTAAAAAAAACACACTAGGTCTTATTTTTGGGGTAGGTCTTATTTTTTTTATGTATAACAATCCAAAGTTAATGCAAGTCCAAATTAAATAATGCAAAATGGCAAGTTAAGAATAGGGTGATCAGGGCAATCAGGGGTGCCGTACCTTTCCATTCATTGGCACCTTGATTCTCTCCCGCGGCTCTTCAGGTTTCCCCTTATGCCACCACCAGCCCTGGCAATGGTCACACCTAGGTCTTATTTTCGGGGTAGGTCTTATATTTTAGCAATTCCCAAAAATAGTACTAGGTCTTATTTTTGGGGTAGGTCTTATTTTCAGGGAAACAGGGTAGCGCTCAATACAGGGGCTAAAATGATACCATTCAGTTAATTAGAGGATGGACACGCCACCTCCTTCCTGTGCTCATATGGCCCCAACTGGATTTTTAGTTAAAATGAAACAGTCACAAAGGGTGCAGAAAGTGCTGGGCTTTCTTTTTTAGAAAGACCAGAATGCTGTGAAAAATCAATGTCATTTGTTTTGTAAAAGATTGCATACAAAATGATGAAGAAAAAAAAAGTTTATAAATAAAAATATGTGACCCAAAAACAGTTAATTTGCAATGGTTGTGCTGGCTGTTGGGGAACTCCAGCTGACTGATTGTAGTTCTTAAAGCTGAAATCCAAGATAAGCAAATATTGTCTAAGGCTGGGTTCACACCTAGACATATTGAATATGCGCGTAATGCGATTTGCGGTTAAAAAAAACGCGCGACAAACGCGCATTTCCGTGGGCTACTTGGCTGTATCCCAATGGAAACGCGAGACCAAAACGCCCCAAAGAAGTCCATGTACTTCTTTGGGCGTAGGCCGTTTTGTAGCGCGTTCGGACGGGCGGAAATACGGCAAGGTGTGAACCAGACCCATTGAATACAATGGGATTTAGATGTTTGAGCGTTTTGTAGAGCGTTCGTCGAGCGTTGAACGCACTACAAAACGTTCAGGTGTGAACCAGGCCTTAATACGAGGGGGGATCAAAAAGTAATGCCTGTTGTGTTCTATCTGCTGCTCATGTGAGCTAATAATATAATGCAGATGTACTGTATGTCATACATATGGCCTAACTAAGTCCCTTTTAGATTGTAAGCCCTCAGGGGCAGGGTCCTCCTCACCATCTTGTCTTGAATTGTATTGTAATGTCTTCCCTATATTGTAAAGCGCTGAGCAAACTGTTGGCGTTATATAAATCCTGTATTATAATAATAATTGTGTGCTTCAGATTGTCAATTGTACCAAGTGGATCATGAATGAGAGGCTGAAACAAAGAGCAGTCATGGAGTTTCTGATGAACGAGGGTTGTTGGGCTGTTGAGATCCATACACCCTGAAGAATGTGTACGGTGTTAGAGTAACTGGTCTGGGCAATGTTAGGCGTTGGGTAACGGCAGTTAAAAAGGGAGAAACTGGAACTGTTGACAAACCATCGAATAGCGCCATTCAAGATCTCCTCATCCAAAGAAATGACAATCTACCAGATCATTATGACCGCGTTCTGGGATGACCAAGGCGTCATTCTCGTGGACTATATGATAACAGTCAACAGTGAAATCTACACCGGTCCACTCTGAAAGCTGAAGAAAGCCATCAGGAAGAAAAGACATTCATGCCATACATGGGCTGGTCAGTGGTCCCTAATCCACCCTACGGCCCAGATTTGGCTCCAGCTGACCTCTTTGGGCCAGTGAAGAATTACATCTGTGGTACGAGATTTGAAGACCTGCAGAAAGTTACAGTGACAGTAAACTCAGGAATCGAATCTTAAAAATGCATTCAAGGACCTTAACTTTTAACAATGTATCTTCTTTTTGTATCACTCGGCTGTAGATCCTCCAATCATCTCTGAATTGGTGCAGACACTGTCCTTCCTTCTGGAGGGGGGCTACTTTTTGTTCCCCATGCTCCCTGTGTGTGTTGTAAAGTTGTCTCCTGTGATGGACTACAATCTCAATACAAATTAATAAACCAAACATGAGATTGTAGTCCATGATGGGAGTGAGCTTGGAGTGGTGGCTACTTTACAACACACACAGGGACCATGGGGAATAGAAGCAGCCCCCCTCCAGAAGGAAGGACAGTGTCAGCACCAATTCAGAGATCATTTGAAGATCTACAGCTGAGTGATACACAAATAAGATGCATTGTTGTTAATAGTTGAGGCTCTTGAATGTATTTTTAAGGTTTAACTCCTAAGTTTAGAGTGTGGGGAAGCCGCTTGTTCGTTTACAAGTGATCTCGGCGATGTCGCCGCGATCACGTGTAAAATGTGTGCAGCCTGTCTGTCCTCCTCCCCCCCCCCTGCACCTACCTCTCTGCTCTGGTTCCATACTAACCCTGCCGCCCCTGCCACCCGGTTGCCATTCTCCGTTGATGGGGGGTGGGGGGGGAGGTCGGGGCGCAATCCGGCCCTCTTAACAGGCATTACTTTTTTTGATAACCCCTCGTAGAAGAGTCATGTCTATTCCTATTTGACTCTTGGTGAGCTTTGTGTATTTCATCCATATCTGTGCAGTAGTCCTGTGTGAGACTTGGAGCTTCATTTAATAAGGACCGCTCACTGCTGCTCTCTCTCTCCTTGTGCAGGGTAATCAGTCTTGTATCCGCCCCCTCCTGTAGTTTTCTGCAGGCAGTCTGTAGTGTCGGGGGCCCTGCTGGGTTCTTCTCACAACTCTACTCTGTGCACAGGCTAGTGATAGGCAATCCTGGCCCTCCAGCGGTTCTGAAGCTACAAATCCCATTATGTCTCTGGGAGTCGGGCCTGTTGCTTTCAGCCTTGCAATGCCACATGAAACTTGTAGTTCCTCAACAGATGAAGTGCCGACTTCACCGACCCCTGGCATATGCACACATAGTGGATTTAGATACATTGTGGAATATATATATATATATTTAAATGAAAGTTTTTGTGCCAGGAATTCAGCTTTAATAAGTGCCCCCAGCAATACATTATCAGTCCTGAAGACGTTACATTGGCCTGTTCCCATGGTAGGTTATTTACGTTTCCTTCTTGCTTTTGCTCTAATTTTGAAATATTTAAAATGAAGTGACTGTCCAACCTAAAAAAAGCAGTCATGTGATAATATGTACATTACATTTACATTCCCCATGGACAACCTTCCTGTGCGTCTTCCATTCATCAGTGATCTGGGGCAGACTTTCAGCATACAGATTCTAGTTGTAGGTTTATGAAGTGGAGCTATGGCAGAGAGGACAGAAGCTGTATACAGCAATCTCCCGGTCTTGAACGCCGTGCTTGCAAACGCTGCACATCCAGAACTGGTATTCTGTAATGGGTCTCCCTGAAGCAATGCATGTTGGGAATTTTCCTTCCCCGCTGTAAAAAGAAACAGGAATAAAATGACTCAAGAATAATGATGTCATAATCATAAAAGGTGCCTTAAAGATTGTCTCAGGGTTGCCAAGGTAGTTAGTGGGTCTACCCCTGCCCTGCAAAGGTTTAGTGCGCTTGTAGTAGGTCTACCCCCACCGTGCAAGTGTTTAGTGCGCTTGTAGTGGGTCTACCCCTGTCCTGCAAAGGTTTAGTGCGCTTGTAGTAGGTCTACCCCTGCCCTGGAAGTGTTTAGTGTGCTTGTAGTAGGTCTACCCCTGCCCTGCAAGTGTTTAGTGTGCTTGTAGTGGGTCTACCCCCACCCTGCAAGGGTTTAGTGCGCTTGTAGTGGGTCTACCCCTGCCCTGCAAAGGTTTAGTGCGCTTGTAGTAGGTCTACCCCCACCCTGCAAGGGTTTAGTGCGCTTGTAGTGGGTCTACCCCTGCCCTGCAAAGGTTTAGTGCGCTTGTAGTAGGTCTACCCCCACCCTGCAAGGGTTTAGTGCGCTTGTAGTGGGTCTACCCCTGCCCTGCAAAGGTTTAGTGCGCTTGTAGTAGGTCTACCCCCACCCTGCAAGGGTTTAGTGCGCTTGTAGTGGGTCTACCCCTGCCCTGCAAAGGTTTAGTGCGCTTGTAGTAGGTCTACCCCCACCCTGCAAGGGTTTAGTGCGCTTGTAGTGGGTCTACCCCTGCCCTGCAAAGGTTTAGTGCGCTTGTAGTAGGTCTACCCCCACCCTGCAAGGGTTTAGTGCGCTTGTAGTGGGTCTACCCCTGCCCTGCAAAGGTTTAGTGCGCTTGTAGTAGGTCTACCCCCACCCTGCAAGGGTTTAGTGCGCTTGTAGTGGGTCTACCCCTGCCCTGCAAAGGTTTAGTGCGCTTGTAGTAGGTCTACCCCCACCCTGCAAGGGTTTAGTGCGCTTGTAGTGGGTCTACCCCTGCCCTGCAAAGGTTTAGTGCGCTTGTAGTAGGTCTACCCCCACCCTGCAAGGGTTTAGTGCGCTTGTAGTGGGTCTACCCCTGCCCTGCAAAGGTTTAGTGCGCTTGTAGTAGGTCTACCCCCACCCTGCAAGGGTTTAGTGCGCTTGTAGTGGGTCTACCCCTGCCCTGCAAAGGTTTAGTGCGCTTGTAGTAGGTCTACCCCCACCCTGCAAGGGTTTAGTGCGCTTGTAGTGGGTCTACCCCTGCCCTGCAAAGGTTTAGTGCGCTTGTAGTAGGTCTACCCCTGCCCTGCAAGAGTTTAGTGCGCTTCTAGTAGGTCTACCCCCGCCCTGCAAGGGTTTAGTGCGCTTGTAGTAGGTCTACCCCCACCCTGCAAGGGTTTAGTGCGCTTGTAGTAGGTCTACCCCCACCCTGCAAGGGTTTAGTGCGCTTGTAGTAGGTCTACCCCTGCCCTGCAAGTGTTTAGTGCGCTTGTAGTAGGTCTACCCTTGTCCTGCAAAGGTTTTAGTGCGCTTGTAGTGGGTCTACCCCTGTCCTGTAATGGTTTAGTGCGCTTGTAGTAGGTCTACCCCTGCCCTAGAAGTGTTTAGTACGCTTGTAGTAGGTCTACCCCTGCCCTGCAAAGGTTTTGTGCGCTTGTAGTAGGTCTACCCCTGCCCTAGAAGTGTTTAGTACGCTTGTAGTAGGTCTACCCCTGCCCTGCAAGGGTTTAGTGTGCTTGTAGTGGGTCTACCCCTGCCCTGCAAAGGTTGTGTGTGCTTGTAGTAGGTCTACCCCCACCCTGCAAGGTTTTAGTGTGCTTGTAGTGGGTCTACCCCTGCCCTGCAAGTGGTTAGTGCGCTTGTAGTGGGTCTACCCCTGCCCTGCAAGGGTTTAGTGCACTTGTAGTGGGTCTAGCCTTGCCCTGCAAGGGTTTAGTGTGGTTGTAGTAGGTCTACCCCTGCCCTGCAAGTGTTTATTATGCTTGTAGTGGGTCTACCGTCAACCAACAAGAGTTTAGTGTGCTTGTAGTGGGTCTACCCCTGCCCTGCAAGTGTTTTGTGTGCTTGTAGTAGGTCTACCCCCACCCTGCAAGGTTTTAGTGCACTTGTAGTGGGTCTACCCCCACCCTGCAAGGGTTTAGTGCACTTGTAGTGGGTCTACACCCAACCTGCAATGTTTTAGTGCGCTTGTAGTAGGTCTACCGATGCCCTTCAATGGTTTAGTGCGCTTGTAGTAGGTCTACCGATGCCCTGCAAGTGTTTAGTGCGCTTGTAGTGGATCTACCCCCACCCTGCAAGGGTTTAATGCGCTTGTAGTGGATCTACCCCCACCCTGCAAGGGTTTAGTGCGCTTGTAGTAGGTCTGCCCCTGCCCTGCAAGGGTTTTGTGCACTTGTAGTGGGTCCACCTCTGACCTGCAAGGGTGTAGTGCGCTTGTATTAGGTCTTCCCCACTCTACATGGGTTCAGTGCGCCTTTTGTCTGTGGGGATCAATTAAAACAGATATAATCACCTGATCGTCAGTCCCACAAACAGCCTCCGGGCTGCTAGACCGGTCCCAACAGCCTCTTCTTCCCTGGGCTCCAGCAGTCTAAAGACCACTGACCTCATCGCATCTTATACAGGTCCATTGACCTGCAATAGACATGAAGACGCTGAGAGACATTCCATAGACGGAGCTGAGGGGAAGAGAAATGAGCGCTGACCTCTGCAGGACCGAGGATTAGGTGATTAAATCAGCTTTATTTGAGCCCCCTAGACAAAACAAGTACTTAACCATTCCAGTGCGGAGGTAGCCCCACTGCAAGGGTAGGTTCTTCTTTAAGGGAAGAATCAGAGTTCCGGTACAGCAGTTCTACCTTACGGTGAGCCAAACCTCTTCAGCTGAAGGTTCATGACCCAATGTCTAGACATACAGTCATGTGACCAGCCTCCTAAAGGCCATCTTTACTCCAGTTTAACCAACAGACATGCTTGTCTTCAGAAAATGTAAAACCGGTGACCCATCTGATAAATGTATGGCATTTCCTAAAAATCTGAAGGAAAATGTGTAGAGACCTGCTTCTGGTTTCTAAATTTGTAACAATGATGGGGTCTATGTGCTTATATGACATGTAGTACAAACCGTTCCGGGACGACATCAGCCTCAGGGCTTCTCGTGTCTTTTGGACTATATGTGGTAAAGATTTCCAGAGCAAGGTCTTCATATTGCTGTCTCTGCTCAGGGCTCAACGTCTCTAAAGATTCCAGCTTAATGAAAGCCTTGGAGCAGGTTCCGAATGCCCTGTTAGCACAGCCACAGAGCGCCAGCAGGGAATAGATCTCTACAGCAGGAATAATGTCTTCATAATCTCTCAGGTGCAGAGCTGGAAATCACAGAAGACAAAAAGGTCAAACGTGTGTGTAACAAAAAGACTAAACTATGGTCACCTATTTCCTGTACTGAGGAAGAAATGAACTTCCTATAATTAATAATTGTATTATTATACAGGATTTATACACCGATCAGCCATAACATTATGACCACTGAGAGGTGAAGGGAATAACATTGATTACCTGGTTACAATGCCACCTGGAAGTGGGGGATATATTAAGCAGCAAGTGAATATTTTGTCCCTGAAGTTTATGTGTTGGAAGCAGAAAAAATGGGGTGGTGTAAGGATTTGAGTGACTTTAACAAGACCCAAATTGATGGCTAGTTGACTCGGTCAGAGAAACTCCAGAACTGCAGCTCTTGTGGGATATTCCCGGTCTGAGGTCGTCAGGACTTACCAAAAGTGATCCAAGGAAGGAAATCCGGCATCATGAGCGGCCAAGGCTCATTGATGCACATGGGGAGTGAAGGCTACCCATGTCGTCCGATCCAATAGAAGAGCTACTATAGCTCAAATTGCTGAAAAAGTTAATGCTGGTTCCAACAGAAAGATGTCTGAACACACAGAGCAGATCTAGATAGGATTGTCACCAGCACACCAAAAGTTTTGAAGCAAAAAGTCCTTTATTGACAAATCGCCATCCAATACAAGCGCTTTCGGGGTCTTTTGGTGTGTTGGTGACAATCCTTTCTAGATCTGCATTGTTCACGGGGCCGTCCGTGGTCACTACAAGCACCCACCTGCTTGGCAGGTTTACTACTATTCCGGTAAGGAGTGCAGCTGGTTCTTGACTACATGAACACACAGAGCATCGCAGTTTGTTGTGTATGGGGCTACGTAGCTGCAGACCGGTCAGGGTACACTTGCTGACCCATATCTACCGACAAATGCATGTACAATGAGCAAGTGAGCATCAGAACTCTACCACGGAGCAATTGAAGAAGATGGCCTGGTCTGATGAATCAGGTTTTTTCAACATCATATGGATGGCCGGGAGCGTGTGTTTTACTTACCTGGGGAAGAGATGGCACCAGGATACACTATGGGAAGAAGGCAAGCCGGCGGAAGCAGTATGATGCTTTGGTCAATGTTCTGCTGTGAAACCTTAGGTGCTGCCATTCATGTGGGTGTTACCTTGACATGTACCACCTATCTACATTGCTGCTGACCCAGTACACGCCTTCATGAAAGCTGTATTACCTAATGGCAGTGGCCTTTTTCAGCAGGATAATGCACCCTGACACACTGCAAAAGTGTTGCTCAAAAAATTCAGGAACCAAACAATGAGTTTCAGGTGTTGACTTGGCCTCCAAATTGTGCTAGAAAAACAAGTCTGATCCATGGAGGCCCCACCTCACAACTTACAGGGCTTAAAGGATCTGCTACTGATAGCTTGGTGCCAGATACCACAGCGTACCTTCAGAGGTCTGGTGGAGTCCATGTCCTGATGGGTCATGGCTGTTTTGGCGGCAAAAGGGGGACCTACTCAATATTAGGCTGGGGTCATAATGCTATGGCTGATCAGTGTATAGCACCAACAGTCTGCACAGCGCTTTACAATATAAAGGGAGACAGTACAGTTGCAATACAATTCAAAGCACAACGGTTAGAAGGGCCCTGCCTCAGAAAGCTTACAATCTAAAAGGGAGGAGCAAGTGATACAAACGGTAACTTGGGGATGAGTTGATGGAGATAATAAAAGTTCAGTTGTTGGCTGGAGGGGATAGTCTTCCCCGAAGAGATTCGTTTTCAGGGATCGCCTAAAGCCAGACAGAGTAGGTGTTAAGCAGACAGATTGGGGTAGGGAGCTCCATAGGATGGGAGATGATCTTGAGAAGTCCTGGAGGCAAGCATGGGAGGATGTAATGAGAGGGCTAGACAGCAGGAGGTCTTGCGAGGACCAAAGAGGACGGTTTGGGTGAGGTTGGTGAAGTAGCCAGGGGCAGAGTTGTGTATGGCTTTGTATGATCACTGAATTATATATCTCCAGCCAACTCAAGAAGCCACATTTTTCCTTTTGACCTATCGGAGTTCTTGCGGTTTACACCCAACCAATCAGAAGCCAAACATGGAGTTTTATTTCTAATGTTGCAATCTACTTAATGAAGAAATAAACTGGAATAGACAACTTCTTATAATGGCAGAAGGACATGTACAGAGAAGGGAATTCAGATGCCGAGGTCTCTGGGGTCAAGTCACAGAGATGTAAGAAGTAGTGAGGAGGCTGGGCTTGGTGCCTGAGTTTGCCAAAGCCCACTCAAAACTCTGACCGCGGGGAGGTGCATCACCCTCCCCACACCTATACATCACAAAGGGTCAGGGAATGCCCGCAACTTCTGACACTGAATGGATCGGTGCGGGGTGGCAGTCAATGGATCGGTGCGGGGTGGCAGTCAAGAGTCCTAAACGGGCTTAACAGGCTTGGGCGAACTCAGACAAACAGCATTTGCTCCAAGCCCTGGCTAGTAAGAAGCAACCTGGTGCTTCAACCTGTGGCTAGCGAAAAGATAAATACTTGCATAATGATCTATAGCAGCCTATGTTATCTCTATAGAGTATGTCCCTCTCCTCAGTTATTTTATGTGCAGTAACAAATATCCAGAAGACCAGACTCACCCGTCCTCATGGCAGCGTCCACATAGCCTTCATAGAGTTGCCTCTGAGCCAGAAGGAAGAAGTGGTAGGCCTCGGCCCCTCTCCAGGCATTGTCAATGATCCGATTATCAGACAGGAGACTGTCTTCTTCTAACAGGCCAGCCAGTGCTGATGTAGCCTGAAAAGCAACATTACAAGGGACACTGAGCATTAAATACCTGAAATCAGCCTTCAAAACACAGAAGAAAGCATGTTTTATGACTGGAGCACAGCATTATGTCAATGACGTACTGCAAGCTCAATATACTGTTCACTAAGGTGATTATTTTCACTGGTTTGTATTGTTTAGCCAGTCCATTGGTTGCCCATTGCACAGAGAACTGAAACACATATGGCTAGCCATTGATCTGTAGATCTAGGAGGATAGAACTCCGTAAGGTACAGTAGGCTCAATTCAATTGAATGGCCCACAAAATGCAGCCCGTGTTATTGAGGAAGACTGCCGAGTACAATGGAAAGCGGATAGCAATGTATAAATGAGCTCCTCATTGTGAAGGAATGAGTAAACCCGCTTCATTGGGTTCATTTTCAGACAAGGTTTGGAGTTAAGTGGAGATGCACCGATACCGTTACTAGTATCGGTATCAATGCCGATACCGAGTATTTGGGGGAATACTCATACTCACCCAAATGCTCCGATACCTTCCCCGATACCGGAACTTCCGGTAAGAGGGAGATTTCCTCTGACTGGCAGTGCCGTGGAACCAGGGAAAGGAACTGCAGCTTTAAAAGCACACTGGTTGGGGCGTTTACTTAAACTGTGAGCAATATACCACAACCACTGTACAGCAAGCTCCAGGCTTTTCTGAATCTAAAGCTGGCCACACACTGACAGATATTGGAAGGAAAGATGGCATGGACTGAGCTCTGGTGCTGCCATCAATTATCAGTCTGAGCACATCAGGGTTTCTCATACCTCTGTCTGCTTTCCTTTCAGCTTTCCTTTCTGTGTGTTCTTCACCTGGGTATGGTATTGCTCCACCAGCAATGCTGCCAGCACGTAAAGCTTCTTTACACGGAGGGGCTTCGCCCGCTTTTTGGCCTCTTCATCAGCAATCTGCGATACAACACAATGACAGTTTGTTATTAAACTACAAAGGACCACAAACACGGTCAACAAATGGTCATCTGGCCTTGGCTCAGTCCAGTCACTCTGCTAGATGAGAGTCAGCGGCACTGTACTTTTCCAATGAAGAGGACACAGTCGATACTGCTGTTTACTAGGGGTAGGTAAACTCTGGCCCTCCAACTGTGGTGAAACTACAACTTTCACCATGTCTCTGCCTCTGGGAGTCATGCCTGTGACTGTTAGTGTCTTGCAATACCTCATGGTATTTGTAGTTACACCACAGCTCCCCTAGTTCAAATCCTAGTCAGAACTGCGCTTGTGTGGGTTTCCTCCGGGTCCTCCGATTTTCTCCCATGCATCAAAGACATGCTGGAAAGTTAAAGTAACATTAAAGGCCCCCCCCCACCACCCAATGTTAGTGTAAGGACTTACCTTACATTTTGCCTCTTAATCCGATCATCTTCTTCATTCCTGTCCTTTTCAGCTGTCCCTCCAGCGCCGGTGCGGGTCTCCGATCCAGCGCTGACTCCTTTGTCCTCCTCTTCTCCGATGTCCCACGGTGTCTGTGCGGGTGCACGCTGCTCCATAGACTTACCTTGTGTCTCTCCACGTCTCCCGGCCGAACATCTGAACTCTTCAGATGTTCGGACGGGAGCGGGCGGCAAAGACACAGGTAAGTTTAAACCTGTTTCAAAAGGTTTTTTTCCTTTAAGTTTCTGCATATATCTACTGCTTGCTAGCCTTAGATATATGCCAAAATATGTGAGGGATTAATAACACTTTTAATTGACTCCTGTCTATATTGGCCCTCTATGTATGCATGTGAGATAGGGACCTTAGATTGTGAGCTCCTTGAGGGCAGGGACTGATGTGAATGTGTGCTATGTAAAGCTGTCGGTGCTCTGTAAATACCAATAATAAATAAATAAATGGATCAAAAATCCATATTCAATAAAATACTTGTTTAGAAGGAACTAAGAGGAAGGTTGTATGTACAACACATCACCACAAGATGGCAGCACTTGTTCATTGAATGCTCAAAGTAGATTATGACAGCGGAACATCAATGCAATGCAATAAAAAGCCTGCACATCAATGCAATACATTCAGAAAACCTGCACATCAATGCAATGCAATAAAAAACCTGCACATCAATGCAATACATTCAGAAAACCTGCACATCAATGCAATGCAATAAAAAACCTGCACATCAATGCAATACATTCAGAAAACCTGCACACTGATGCAATGCAATGCAATAAAAAAAACATGCACATCAATGCATTGCATGTGGTGTCAACACAAGTGTATTTAATGTGCAGCTGACTGCAATGTTGGATATGAGTCCAGACTAAAAGAAACCCGTTCTGATATGAACATGCAGGCTGCGGTTCTGTTAAAAAAATCGACTTATTCGGGTTTAAAGCCTCGAGCGTATTACCTGCAACAGGTATGCAGAATCTCCAACATGACTCTCTCTGATAAGGGACAGAAATGCTCTGTTTGAATCCTTCTTCTCTCTCTCTTTATGATTATAGTCGGCGGGGCTTAGTGGTCTATTATTATGGGTTTGGGTAAATTCCAAGTGACTAATAAAGGATTAGAAATGAGGGACAATGTTAAAGGGGAAGTAAGATCAGGAAAATACAAAAATCGCTGGAAGGTACGGTTATTTGGCAGAAGAGACTTTGCATGGCTGCTAATAAACCTTTCCTTCCAGCGATTTTTTATTTTCCTGATCTTACTTCCCCTTTAACGGTGTACTTCATTTCTAATCCTTTATTACAAATTAGTTACACTTAAAGGTTTCCTCTGTCCCCCAGCGATTATTTATTCTCTGTGTACACTGTATGGTGCATGCTCCATGCATTGTACACACTCAGCCCATCTCTACGGTGCTGTGAACGGGCCAAGTGCCAGAGAGGATGTGACTCCTGTGTGCATGCGCAGGAGTTATATCATCAGTGGCCACCCAATGGCCGAAGAGGACTTCCAAGAACCCAGAAGTGTCAGCGGTGGAGATGGCGGTAATGGGAGACAGAGCTGAGCACTAAAGAGCGACCCGACAGCACCAGAGAAGGGCACACTTGTAAGACCTAATGTGCTGCTTGCTGCCTGGTCATCATACTGACAACACTGGCTTTAATTACCCAATTGTTTTGGCCGTGTTGTATGTTCATGACCACGGCTGTTTTACACACAAGTGCTAAAATCTGAATGTTTGGATAGAAAATGACCATAAACCACCAAACAGGAATATGTTTTCTGAAAGCTAAGGCTTTGTAAATGAAAAAAAATGGCTGCTGCATTATTTTGAATGTGAAACTATGCAGGCGGCTACCAGTGATCTGGGCGGCTGTACAGCCACCCAAATGACTTGTAGAAAAATAGGATTTTTGTACTAACCGTAAAATCCTTTTCTCTCCGTTCATTGAAGGACACGGGGAACATATCATAGATCTGTTCCTCCTGTCCTTCAAAGAACGGAAGAGAAAAGAGAATCGTCTGCTAATAAAAGATACAAAGATCAAGACTGCAGCAGCCACGATGGTTGTGTAAAAAAGCAAAAAAAGAAGCGCTACAACCCAGATATTTGTCTTATTAAAACAGATTATAAACCTTACAATGGTATCTGCAAATAGGGACTCACTTTTAGATGCATGAGATGTTGTCTTGCCATCGGCATCGGCCATGCAAAAGACAACATCTCGTGCATCTAAAAGTGAGTCCCTATTTGCAGATACCATTGTAAGGTTTATAATCTGTTTTAATAAGACAATTATCTGGGTTGTAGCGCTTCTTTTTTTGCTTTTTTACACTTGTCCACAGGGTACCTCTCCCTGGCTAAGTAGCTCACTCACCCAAATCCGCTCACAGTCTTCCCACCGGTAGTGCGCTCGCCATCTTTTCTGTTTTTTACCATAATGTTGGTGTAACTACTTCAGGTACAGCATTCCAGAAGTAAACACACCTTGGGGGAAATTTATCAAAACTGGAGCAGACAATCTGGAGCAGACAATCTGGAGCAGACAATCTGGAGCAGACAATCTAGAGCAGACAATCTAGAGCAGACAATCTAGAGCAGACAATCTAGAGCAGACAATCTAGAGCAGACAATCTAGAGCAGACAATCTAGAGCAGACAATCTGGAGCAGACAATCTGGAGCAGACAATCTGGAGCAGACAATCTGGAGCAGACAATCTGGAGCAGCTGTGCATGGCAACCAATCAGCTTCTCACTTTCAGTTTCAAATCTTACCTGAACAAACTGAAGAGAGAAGCTGATTGGTTGTTGTGCATAGCTGCTCCAGATTTTGTCTGCTCCGGTGTTGATAAAATCCCCCCATCGCCTTTAACGGCATCCGCTCAAAGTGATTTGGGAGCGATCATGTGATGCTCCAGAATCCCTATTGGCTGTTACTAATCTGCATCAGATGCAGGGCAGCGGAAAAGCAGCGGTAGTGATTACCGATCACTCCCGCTGCTTGTTTTTGTTAATTGTCCAGGATGGTCATCAGTCGCCAAAGTGATTTTTGTAATGATGGTCCTGGACCGTCACGGGTTGCCAAGGGATTGATACCGTGAGAGTCACTATCCTAGAACAAATACAAAGATCAGTCAGAGAAAAGCCAGAAGTCCTTATCTTCATGCTTGCTGCAGGCCAGCGACTCAATGAACTGAAGCAGCAGGATCGGCACAACGGCCAGGAGCTAGAATCTGGAGACCTCCACAATTGCAGTCCCTGTTTCTCTCAATTTAGGGAAATTCCATTTGCAAAAAAAAATTAATAAAAGCATACTTCTTCATAAAAACTCCAAAGACATGCTGGTAAGTTAATTGGCTCCTGTCTAAATTGGCCCTCGTATGTATGCATGCGAGATAGGGACCTTAGATTGTAAGCTCCTTGGGAGCAGGGACTGATGTGACTGTGCACTCTGTAAAGTGCTGCGTAAATTGTCGGCGCCATATAAATATCTGTAATAAATAAATGAAAAATTGCCTTTATTAATGCATCATTAAAATGTGCACAGGAGCCAGTAAAGCATTGCAACTGCTATCAGAGGATCACGGGTGCAATGCTCTGGCTCCTGCATACTGTACTGCACCGAGGTAAGGACATGCAGCAACATGGACGGGAGGAAGTGTCACTGGACAACAAATGCGATGATATCATGGCACTTGTCTTCTGTAGAAACTACAAGCCCCTCTGCCCTGGGACTTCTCCATCCACAGATCCTGTCAAAGAATCTGAATGGATGATGCTGGAGTGTGGCTGGAGCCGCATTAAAACAACAGCAGCAGCCTGCGATTCAGATAAGTGGGAGGGGGGG